GTCGAGATTTGTAACGGGTTGGCGACCCGACAAAATCAACAATTCAAATGCAATGCACAGCAACGATAACTAAAATTAAATCAATACCAAACATGCCTATACGCTACAACCAGAACCATCAAATTTTTTCCCAGCTTTTTAGTCCCCATGCTCAATGGGAAGATATGGCTTTGCTTTCTGGAAGTATTACTATTTTATAAGACTAAATATAGCAACCCTAATTAGTCTATACCAAATCGAAACTACTGATTTTTCTAGGGGTTTTTTCCCTGCACCCATACCGGGGCCTTTATTTTCCATTGATTCCAAATTGGACTCACTCTAAACAAAGTTTCATCTTCATCCTCATCATCATCATCATCATCATCATCATCATCATCATCATCATCATCATCATCATCATCATCATCATCATAATTATTTCATATTTTTTCTGGGCATCCAGGTAAACAAAGTTTCCACGGTATGGCCACTGAATCTCTGTAAAACTAGCCACATTTAACAACATTGTGCCCCTCCCCACTCTTTTACAAAAAAAAGCTGGATAGCCTTGAATGTTAGTGCTCTGTCTCACCTGTTAGATTTGTACATGGAGGTATCTATATGGTCTGTCTGAGTATAATCGCTGTAAGGTTTACCAGAAGAAAACACGTGATTTAATTACAGCATTTTAACAATTCAAGTGATAGTATAACTGACCTGGAGCGTGATAAATAATTGATTATGCTTCAGACTGAATTTGGTAAGTGTAAATTAAATTGTACGAGCAATAAGTTTGTCGAAACGCGACGTTATTTGTGTAGGCATAGGAGGCCTACTGTATTTCCATAGATAATTCATAGCATACTGTATCATATGTATTCATAGAACATGTTCTAGGCCTATTTAATTAATTGCATATTGTTAATATTTCTCAATACTGCACGTCGTGTAGATATAATTATAGTTATCATTGTTATTCCTTGTACATAGTGTTTCCTGCACTGTATTTATTCATGGAGGAATAAGCAATTTAATTGCATTTTGAACAATATATCATTTTCGCAGTAGACCTACATCTGTCTATTCCCATGATTTAAAATCATATTACGAATTGTAATTTCATCAATGCTACCACATTCTGTGTCCAGATATAGAATGTTTAACCTGGATGCTTTTTTCTGTGCCCACCCTTTAGCATCATGTACAGGGCATAGGCCTTTATTATCTCTATTTTTTCTTGAGTCATACCATTAAGAATATGATGCCCTTTAAAAAAAATCTTCCTATTAGTATTATATATGGGAGAGTACCTCATGAACATTATTCACACACCCTCGAGCCTGCTATGGGGATATATTCATGCCACGAAACTTAGAATA